GGGATTAGCGATAATCAGCATGTGTGCCTTTGGGCAAACCTTGGGAGCTGCAGTAGCAAGGTCTCGAACGATCGAGGCGTTGGTCTGATGACACACAAGATCACGTGAAATGGAGTACATATCAGAGGTTTATCACCGAGTGGTCAAAAACGTATTCAAGTGATATACTAACGTTGAAGAGGTCATCTTGGGTCATTCCTGGTTTCCTTGGTACACCAGCTGGGATCAAAACAATTCCAGCGCCATCGAGGGCTTTCTCATGAGGCCGTTGTTATCAGGTAGATAACCTTTGCAGGTTGCGGAAGTGTTGACATGAGACACATCCTGTTTTGAAAAGTACGCAAGACACCTTGAGATTGGGGCCGGGCTTTGCTCTCTGAGGCCTAAAGAAGCGATTATCACTTACTGCGGCAACACCGGGAGCACCTCTGACATCGTAAAGAGCGAGGTCAGATACCAATGAGCTCTAGAGTCAAACAAATATCCAGGTAAGCTCCTGTGATCAAAATCGAAGTCCAATCAAAACTGAAGAATCGAGAAAGTACCTACTTGCTTCATGAGAAGACTGAGGGGCTGTCCAATTCCACCTGAGTCAATCCAAGATTTTAGAACCAGATTCCACCAGTCTTAATTTGAATTTGAAAAGGAGATTTAGAGGAGCTCTTTTACCAGCTGCACCCAAGACTGCTACTTTGGTGAGACTTGATGATGAAGATGACAAGAAACGTGTGGGAGAAGCAGTGCTGAGCCTGAAGGCCGGTCGAAGAGGGGTTTGAAGGGTTGCCAACATGATGGTGATTTGGTTGGCATAGTAATGGTGATGATGGTAAAGAGGAAGGGATTTGTGGTCAATCGATCGATCGATGATTTGATTTACTTTACTGTCACATATGTAAACCCCCAACCCGTTCCTATCTTGCACTATTCGCTAGGGCACTGATAGCGTAGCTGGATCATCATTGATTCTGCTGAGCATCCTCAATGATTTAATCATCGTATCATATCAAGAATATCTGAGAGATAGGCTGCTACTGGCTTTCTACTAGACTTTACAAGTGGTACAGTATAAATGACTGATATTAAAACTCAAACCTGACCTACATCTCGAGTAGAATTTGTTTTATAGATATCATAGGATATCATACTCTACATCTCGCACAAAATTGTTGACTAGAGTCTTTAGGATAGGCTGCATGAGAATCAAAAGATTCAATTAAATGTCAAAAAAGATGGGTGTCACAGAGCGAATGTTCAAGTTAAGATGACTATAAGAAACTAGATGCCTAGGTAAGGATTGGGGAATCGTTCAAACGGATTGACCATGATATTCTTGAAGAATTGCCTTTTATACTGTTCTTAGGATACCACGACATGACCAAGCACCTGTTTTGATGCGATCTATCACTTGATATACTCGCAATTCTTATTGTTCGCAATTATCGCATTCTAGAAAAAAAAGGGTTCTCTATCAAGCAGGTTTTGAATGATGAAAAACTATGACTTACGGATGATTGAAGTTGGGTGGTCAAACCCGGTGCATGTATAAAAATGTTTGCCGTTCCAAGCAACTGAACCATCCACACGCATAAAGGTTTGATAAGAAAGTCAATGAGAGGCTTGGAAAACAAAGATTATTCACGAAGAAACTGACCAAATTTGTGTATCTGAGGCCAAACTTAACAAAGTCCCTCGCCAAAGGCCCGAGCCCCAGCGAGGGACTTACCCCATAAACTGGAATCCTGGCGTGAGAAGTGAGCTGTATTTGCTCCAAATTCTCTACATCTGTTTGTTTTTTTTCTCTCTCAACAAACATGTCTCGCAACAAAGAAAGAAGAAAAAGGCAAGGGACCATTACATATGTACCAATTGCAAACTCCTTTCTATCTTTTTGGGAAGTTATCTTTTTGAGTAGTTGAAGATCAATTATTTTGACCGCTTTCTGAGAAATACAGGCTTTGAGCCGGCTCGCCGCTGCTGAAAATTGAAAACAGACCCATTTTTGATTCCCCAGTAGCCCAAGTTCCAGACCAGATTTGGGGAAGCTTGCAATTGGCTCATATGTAATGAATATTTGCCATCATCCTTTTATTTACCTCCGAGACCTGTTTATTTAGGAACAAATCAAAGAATTCAAAGTAGCGTTTTTTGAGCCAATACAGGCTACTTCTCACGCCAGGATTCCAGTTTATGGGGTAAGTCCCTCGCTGGGGCTCGGGCCTTTGGCGAGGGACTTTGTTAAGTTTGATCTGAGGCTCGTATCTATACTGGTAACATTGTTGTTTACTTACGGTTTTGTCTTGAGATTGGTAGACCTGGCATCCCACCATCCCAATCATTTTGTCTAACATGAGGAAATAGAAGATAGATGCAAGATGAGCAGCTTTGCAGTGCCAATTGAAATCATGAGGAATGAATATTGGTTTGTAGAATACTTACTGTTACTATTAGAGCCATTTTTACAGCTTTTTGCGCTGCACTTTACCCCGTAGGTGTCTGACACTCTGCACACTGTAAGTGTGAGGAGTTATGAAAGAGGTCTATCTTAGCCATGGGTGTATATTATGCTGGGTATATGAGCCAATTGAACGAGGGTTTGAAAGAGATTCCATACATGCTTTATCATTAACAAAGGTATACTCTGTTTGGCACGAATAAATCGTGCCGTCCCCCGCCTTCAAGCCAATAATGCACAATGAGAGGAGTAGAAAGGATATCTTTGGAAAGAGATGAAGCATTTTTTTCGAGGAAGAGAGAACGATAAATTCAAATATGGATTCCGACTGCAAGACTGAAAGGGAGCAAGGTTTGATGTAGAAATGGTGGCCCGGGAATGAGAGAGTCATCAACTGAATGTTCATGCTACATAGTTATATGGCATCTGCACATATTAGGCCGACGAATCCGCTATAGGCTCAGGGTGTTGCCACCGGCATGTGGAGAGACGTACGGCAAAGAAGTGCCACCCACGTGCAGAGACTCTTGGGCTTCTCCATCTTGGTTTTGAATACCTGGCTTGAGAATTGTGGGTTGGTTTGCGGTAGGAAGGTATATCCTTTGAGAATTGGGATACCTTGGGCATGCACCATGTGATCTGTTCTAGTGATTGAGTAAGTACAGTCAATTTCACAAAGCTTGGAAAGAATTCCGCGCCAATTTGCTCAAGTTTGGCGGGCAAAAGTTTCCAAACTTTCTGCAATCGACTGTATGTAATTCAAAGGTCATCGAAGTTGAGCGACATGCCACGGCACTGGAGAAGGATTAAACCTGTTGAAACTGCTGGACTTAATTTACATATCACAAAGCGTATTTTTTTGTCTTTCAACCTTTGTAGCAGGGCTACGAGCTAGGAGTACCAAGTTCAAGTCACCATAACAAACATCTCACAAACATCTCAAACGAAAAATGATCTGAGGCCGGCTCCATCAGTTTGATAAACTTCAATTTATCACGTCGAGTGCCTAGCAACTAGCTGTACCTTCTGACCCACCATGTGGATCCTGCACTAAAGTTGGTCTTGAAGGATTGTTTTTTCAAAGACAAGTTGAGGGCTTCCGAACATTCACACTGAAGTATCTTGCTGTGCGCGATGAAGTTGCTGTGCATCTTAACAAGTCAAATTCAACCAAGATGAGATATCTGAATTCGGTCGGAGCTTCGACCCAATCACAGCTCAAAAGGGCATACCTCCTCACTATTGAAGAGTTGCATATGCCCAGATCACAAATATGCCGCATCAAATCAAACATCGATCATTGAAGGCCATTATGGATTCTGACCGCTTTGATAATGACTCATTCTCGTCTATTGCCCTCACCACAGCTCTTGAAGATACTTTCACCACCATAGAGTCACACCCTTGGGAGAGTAGAGACTCGCGGAATATTCATCTCCCGAATTCCATGGAAGCAGACGTCGGCCACAACCCTATAAGCTTTTCACTGTTAAACACAGATAAATCGGAATCAGATGCAAGGTAACTTGAATTATTGCACTCATTCCAAAAGCCTTTTACCAATTTGATGAATCGCGCATCAGATCCTCAAGACTGAAATCATACTGACATATTTTCTTTCCTCCTTTTGCACAGCCCAGACCCCTATCCAAGATATATCCAATCAATACTTCTCTGGCCGTACGCATGGTCAATTGTATTGGGAGAATTATGTGTTATGATCTTTGTTCTTGGTTTCATTATTGTCACAAATCAGTGTCAAATACCATTACCACCGAGCATAGCCCAATGGGCAAAGAATTCCCCAAAAATGATGGCTTTTTGCGTCTCGGCGATTTCAACAACTCTTTCGGTATTATGCTCATTGTAAGTTGATATTTTGTTTGTGAAGATATCAAATATGAAGAAAGTAATGTGGCAGCCTTCCTCTGTAGTGGGTTTTCCAAGGCAGTACTTTTGTATACGACCGCTACTTTGACTTGGAGTCCTACTTCACTCTTTGAACTTTCAGCCACCATTGATATTTCAAGAGCGTCATTTGTTTTTCAGAAATCTCATTTAACAATCTCAATTATGACCGTAGCTAGCGCTATCTTACTAAAATCAATGACAGCCGGGTGATTAGGAATACTTGTCAACCAACTCATACCACAGAGCTGATGAATTATCCTTTTTTCTCACCGTGATAGCTTTGTCACTCTTCTGACACCAACACCCATCATGTTACGCCATCATATGTCAGGCCAACAAATTGATTTAAGTTCAGCGGAGTTTGGAAAATTGTTACACAAAGAGATAGGCTGGGATGATGAAGGTAAGATTTTCTTATTGAATGTTTTTGATATCTCATTCTGATTTCACTGTTGCGTAACTTAGAACGCACCAAGCCTCAGGTCAGGACACTATTTGGATATATAACGGTATCTAGTGGTATGTCAGCGGCTTCCTCTCACATCGGATATCCCGGCGTGTTCAAGTTTAACGGAGCTGCATATTCGGTCCCTACTGGTGAGCATCTTTTCAATATATTTTCCTACAAGTTTGAACAATTTTATGCGGTTTGATAGGAGGAATCTTGGCTGTTGGTCCAATGGGCTCAGTAAATCACGATCCACGTAATAATGGTCACTTGGTCGGAGACGACACTGGAGGTGAAATGAAAAAGCTTTATCATGTCGATGGAATAGCAGATGACACTGTCTTTAGCTCTTCAATAAACTATACAACTTTTCAAATGGGATTACGTGGAGGGGTCTCATGTAAAGCTATAGGTTCATCTGGTTTAGCAAGTTCTCGTGCTAGAATTCAACTAAAGCTGGTCAAACATTGGGAAGCACCTTTGCCTCTTGATCAAAGTTTCTCTAATTGGGTTTGGAGCGGAGCTTGCCCAAATGGAACACAAATTGGTGAGCGGCCGCCCTCTAGTGGAATTTCTATCACCCCACGAAATGTCTCCTTATGTTAGATGTGCCCATGACTACCTCCCGGTACATCCCGGGACTGAGAAACAAGACAGCAGAGATTATGGGCCAAGCTGTTGCTCATGTTTGCTTTGATCAAGATTTGACCGGTGCTAAATCAACTGGAAATCATGGTGCGCAGCATTTAATTTGAACCGACTTGTTCTGTGGACCCTGAAGTATGTTCTTCAGTTCTCATTTTGGCTGGAAACAGATCACAATACGATTTCTTGAGGCCAACTGTGTGTGAAATCCGACCAACGATTGGGACTTATCAAGTTTTCTACAATTACCCAAGTGTGACGATTAACCAAACTAGTTTTAAACCAACCCATAAGATGTCAGAAGATACTCGGCTTCTCTCAAAGTACCTTGCCATGTTGACAAAGGCAATGGTTTCTAGCTCTCAAACTATGTGGGCAAATGCTTTTAGCGATGATATCTATTCAGTGTATCATGATGCTGGTGCGTGGGTCGAGGAAGACAAATTGGACACAATTCTTGTACGTTTCTAGTCAAAAAAATAATGGTTGATGTTGATAAGATCTGTTTGATGGGGTATTTCTTCGGGACTGCTGATTTCTTTCCCTCACCTCGATCAGAACCATTACTTCAACGGGGTGATAGAGTTTGGGACAACAGTGAGTCATATTCCATCCAAGATGGCCTGGCGGGACGTGTTCATAAAGGCTCTCAAGTCCAAGAACAACATATTGATTGCCAATTTACCTCAAAAGTTTTTTCGAGCCCACTTTTCTAGAGTCGGTAATACATCAGATCAAAACAACTTACCAAACAACATCTCATGCAACTTCAATGGTACTTTGATGATCTCATCACTGGGATGGGATGTAGGATGGGATCCAACCCGCAGTTTTCTCACACCTACCTTTCTTTCGATGATTCCTATCATTCTGGTTTCATTTTTTTCGATCTCTGCTGTCTTCATTGGATGTTATAAAAGGTTTATCTCATTTCCTCTTCATACAAATCAACCTGTTCAATTTGATCCAAATGATGTGACACAGATCATTCGGGTTGCTTGTGCTGGTAATCTTTCTGAAAAGTTTTCTCAAATGTCTGTTGATCAAGTAGGAAAAAGTTGTACAGACAAAGATTATGATCAAGTTCATGTTCAGTTAAACTATGATGATGACGGTCTTGGTAAATTGATATGGAAGGAACCTCAAACAATTTGACCTCTTGATCAGAGATTTGATTTGTATAATAGAATCACATTCATAACCGTACAAATTTAGGATACTCTCACATAAAACTTATTTCTCTTCTCTTCTTTTCTTGCATCCAATCTTTTTCAATCAACTTTGTATAATTATTTTCTGTCTGTGGACGAGCGCTTCACGCCAATAAAATGAAAATTGTAATTCTCAATATTCACTATGCAAGACGTGCCCGAGCTTCTAATATATTCACTTCTACCTGATATGTACCGAAGTCATAGGGGAGACCGACTAATTATAAAAGTGCTTGAGGTGGGTCTCAGGAACAAGCTTTACCCTTCCGATGAACCATGTACATACTATGCATTACAGCACAATACAGTGGATGTGAAATGTATACAGTACGGACAGAAAAACAACGACGATTGAAAGAAAAACACGCCCCGCCTGGGACTCCGTTGAGTAGAGAGTGGAAAGATAAAGATCAAATCTTCAAAGATCAGGTCGACGTTGCTTAGCTTTGAGACCTACGATACAAATAGATGCTGAAAGGGTCATAACTCCCTAAAAACAATTCAACAAAGAATCAGTATGAAAATTCAATGATAGAGATGGCTCAAGCCGCTGCCTAGGTTGTTATTTACCTGAAAGATCAAAGCATTGGTCATATCAAATGGTGGTGACGAATCTGAACCAGAACGAAGTGCATCCATGATGATTAGAAAGATGACAGATAACGCTGATTATTGATTATCAAAGAAAAAGAATGAAAATATCATTAGCCAAAAAACCTGATATAAACTTATAGAGTTGGATGGAAGTTTAAACAAACCATTTCCTACTAAATATAATATAGCAGCAGAAGAATCAGGTGTCATAGCCTTATGAGTGATATCTGCACCTAATTCAAGCGCAACTGGTAAACTTATACTAAAATGATCAAGATAGGAAATATCAGTGATCTAAAGATGAGAGATAGAAAAAGAAAAATCAAAATTAAAAAAGCTCACAAACTAAAAATCCCAATCCCAATGTTCAAGACATAAATAGCACCGATATTTTTTGTTTTAGGAATCCAAATCAAACCAAAATAAGTCAAACCAAGTAATGGACCTAAACATTTAATAATCGGACCTCTAGATCTACGTAAGAATCTATCAAAGATAGGTGAACTAATTCCTGCACTAATTAAACCTGGTATGATTGAAGCTATACCAAAATAACCAGCTTGATCTGAATTGAATCCATAAGCTATAGATAGAAAACAAAAAAACTCATTAAGAATCAGGTTTTTGGCTTTCTTGAATTGAGACTTAACTCACGTGAGTAGATTTGTTCAATCAAGATTGCATAAGCAGAAAAAGCCCCTATAAGATGATAGAAAGTAAGGTCAATAATGAGAAAAAAGGAGAACAGGGTCAAAAAGATCTGTCAAAAGAACTTACCAACAAGTGTACCAAATAACCAAGTTAATAAGAGAAAGTCAATCCTATCTCTTCGTGTCAAATCCTCATGACCAGGTCGTTCATCGATAGAAAAGTCAAGGTATTCTGGAGAGTTTTTGTAAGCTGGGTTTGAATTTTGATTGTCAGGTTGAGTTTTGTTATAAGTGTGAAATTGTCGATTGACTTTTGCTTTTGATGACGTATGAATCCCAAATAAGACTTTAAATCCATCCCAAGCTGAATGACGTGGTATTTCAGAACTCGCTGAGGCAGGAGTTGGAGGTCCATTCCCAATAGCAAGTGATACTAACGAAATCAAAGTAGTAGCAGATGCGACAACTAAAAGTAATGTTTTGAAATCACTCATAGTAGCTTTTTCAGGAACAAGTGTTGGTGCAAGAAAACTTGCAACTGCTTGACCTACTGGGTTTGAGACAGCAATTATCATTGTTGCTGTCATACGAGTTTTGGGTGAGAAATACAATTCACTGAAAGCTGGACCGAGGATTAATAGAAGAGGTTGGGAGATCGAGATGATGAAGGAACCAAGGAGTAGTAAGCTGTAGGCGGCCATATGCTCAGCGTGTGTGTCTAGAGAGTTTGTTGTATATGTGGCAGCATAGCGTAACCTAAAAAGTGCAATGATCACATCAGATTGGGAATATGGTCAAAGGTGTAAGATGAATCAAAGTTCTCAAGGAAGATTCTTGAAAGTTGAACCTCTTCAAGCGTACCAAGCTCCAATAGTCATGGCTGCCCCGGCCATAATACAAACCCATCGTATAGCCATTTTTTCGACGAGTAAAGGTACAAACCAAGCTACTACAACAAAAGTGACCCCGAAAATGTTTCTGGAACATCAAGACTCATCTAACATCAATTAAGTGTAACTCATGATCTCATTCTTTTTCAAATGGAGTTCTTGGCACCTTTTTCGAACGTTTTTTTTTTGAAATGACTCACCCAAGCCAATTCACTTTTGTTAAAGACATTTGAAAAACGGAAGAAGTTTGAGTAGTGACTGTGGTGTTAAATGGTATAGATCAGTACACTGAAATTGGAATGAATCAAATTCCGCTAGGAATAAAATTGACGTACTGGTTGTAAAGAGTGTAGCGTTATGAGCGGACATAGCATTCAGTAGAGCCAACATAATCAACCCAACAAATCGTCGCTTATAAACCTTGTAGATGGTTGGTTGAACAGAGCTATCTTGTTCAAGCTTCCCGTCCGGCAACTCTCGTTTTGAGAAATGCGTACTATTGACTTCACTGAGGCTCTCCCTGAATGATAAGAATTGTCTTTCATCTTGAATTTCAAGTCCCATGGGCGTTGAAGTTGATCCCGGCGCTGCTTTATCAGGATTGATTGATGCTATTTTTGATTGATTGGATGCGGTTTCGACTTTGTCTGGAACCTCATCCTGTTTGTCTTTCGCATGCATCCTTGACGAATCTAATTCCAGGTGAATCAGCTTGAGCCGTGGCAAGGAATACTACTGTGACACCGAATGCAAAGGTTATCAGTTAGTTCAAGGATTGTTTATATAGCCCATATACGATAGTGATCTGAAGAGTTTATCACCTAACGTTTTACTTACATGTGATTCGAACTTGAAGTTGAAAGGTCCTCAGATAAGGAATGATGCGCTTCTCGTTTCCCGGTGGAGGTAACAGACTAGAGCAAAATGAAGCTGAGGAGGATCCTGAAAGGGCAAAAGCAAGACATTAGTGATTATAGTTCTATGAGCGACAGATATATGCACAGCAGCAGTTTATGGATCAAGATATTTATTTATGGTGCTAAATCTAGATCTGCAGTAATTGAATCTTTAAGGCAACTTTGTTGATCAACAAGCTCAGAAAGACAAGATGATCATGTATGAACATGGATTTGCTTATGATTCGACTGGGTGTGGAAATCCGTTGAAAATATCTCAAGTTGACCAACTAAGCTTTCGAAGTGGAACGTGAGGGTTTCATAAAGAGCAAAAGATGGACGAAAAGACTCACTTTGTGTTAAATTATCAAAAGAAGAGACGCTGGCAAGCTTTTCCGGTTTGACTGTATTGTGATCATATACTAACAGATCTTGTAAATGTCAGCATAAAACGAAACACAAAAAATGAAAGGAAGGAAAGAAAGGTGGTGGATTGGTTATGAGAAGTTTCGTTTTTTTTCACCTTTCGAATTAAACCTTATACGCGCCAACTCTCTCATAGTGGTCATCAAAAGCTATATGTATAAAGAACTTCAATTTAAGTATCACACCATGAGATGATGAGTGAGCTGAGGTGAGCTGTCTAACTTGTATCGGTGGCCACGGTCACCCGAGGAAAATTCTTGAAAACCTTAACCGTTGCACTACCACCAGACTCCAGAGTCCACCAGAGTTTCACCAACCTGAGTCTGGAGCGTTGAAGGATTCATCAAGGCTTCAAAATGCAGAAAGCACGTTGGTCGTCAGACTTCGTATGTATAAGGAGGTTACAATCGAAGAGGTAAATGCATAGCGAATGTATTAGAGAAAGACTTGCCGGCTTTTCATTAATGGTGATTTTGAACCGTGATGGATAGGTTGTCAAGAAGATGATACAATTCAGATATCGAACCACAAGACTTGATGATACTTGGTTTATAGAGAAAGAAAAGATGGGAAGTAAGCCTGATCCCAAGCAACTTGATCGAAGCTCATGACCAATGAGAAAAGAAATTTATCACAATCGAATCATCATCAGTTGTCCTCAGCCCTCATTTCACTCTATAAAAACCATATATCAGCTTTATCACTTGATATCATTTCTTTCTTGGTGTTATCTTCAATAAAACTCTTGATCGATCTCAACGTGTAGGTTTACTGTTATCAATCGGCCTCATTAAGGGGTTTCAAGTTTGATTGGTTTTTATGGGATTTTTAAGAATTCGGGCAAGTTTTTTGTAAAAAGATTTTGCGTAAAAACAACGTGATTAGGGGGGCTCAAGTCAAAAAATTTTACTACTTTTATCATAAAAAACTTTTCCCAATTTCATAAAATTTACACAAAATTTTATGAATTTGGGAATTGTTATACGACATCCCAAATTTTTTTAAGCAGCAAATTTGCGTAAATTTACTGCTCAGAAGCAGATCCGAAAGAAATTTTTTGGTCCTTTTTTATGAATTGGGAAAAGTTTTTACAGCACGGCACCGTAAAAAACTTTCCCCAATTTTTTAAGAAAAGGGCGCAAATATTTTGACTTGAGCCCCCTTATTTTAATTCGGGACACCTAAAAAGGCCTCCCGTTTTAAAAAAATTACGCACATTTTACAACAACGGGCAAGATGTTGTAGCGTAAAAATACGTAAAAAAATCAAACTTGAAACCCCTTATTACCTTATCGAACACTTATCCGCTTTCCTTGAGAATTACCGGTAGAAAAGTTTTCGAGAAGGGTTCTTTAATCTCTAGAACTACTGTAAGCTCAAGTTCCAATCCAGATAAACCAAAAGCAGGTTTACATGCATATGGAGCCTTATTCATCAGTCAATCGATCCGTCTTATGGAGTACATAGACCAACGGAAGATAATAGGGGGGCTCAATTCAAAATATTTGCGGCCCTTTTTTAAAAAATTGGGGAAAGTTTTTTACGGTACCGTGCTGTAAAAACTTTTCCCAATTCATAAAAACGGACCGTAAAAATTTCTTTCGGATCTCCTTCTGAGCAGCAAATTTACGCAAATTTGCGTAAATTTACTGCTCAAAAAAATTTGGGATGTCGTATAACTTTTCCCAATTGCATAAAATTTTGCGTAAATTTTAAGCAATTGGGAAAAGTTTTTTACGAAAAAAGTAGTAAAATTTTTTGACTTGAGCCCCCCTAATAAGGGGTTTCAAGTTCCAAATTTTACGTGATTTTACGTTTTAAAAACTTGGACGGAGTCATAAATTTTACGTAAAATATTTTTAAAACGGTCAACCTTTTTACGTCTCCCGTTTTAAAATTAGCTTAAATTTACGCTTATAAAAAGTATCCGATCAAGTTTTGGATCTTTTACGTCATCTTTGAAGTTTGGAGGACCGACGATCACTCCCTTACCCGGCCATTTTGTCCCTTCCTTACCGCTCTTTACCCTTACCTCCAAATTCTTTATCGCACCACCCTTTCATCTCATCCATCGATCAAGATTCTTCACTACAAATCTCAGATCAGTACTAGTTCGGATTGCTTTCACTCAGAATCAAAATCCAAATCCGGATTTGAACCATCAATCCATCAATCCCTGATCCATCCACAAACCCGATAATGATTCGAAGTTTTATTACCATCGAATTCGACTATTGTTTTCAACTCTAACAAACAACAAGTTTGGTATTTGAAAGAACTTCTGGATTTACTTATCATTCAATTTGGTGCTAGAATAGATAATACCATCTTCAAAGTTAGTTACCTTTCTAATTTGATTTTGTCTTTTCAAAATCGAATACCAGCGCACTATATACTGACAATCATTTATTGTTTTCTTTCTATTTAACTTTTGATAAAGGATCATGGTATTTGGCAACCAGTTTTGAATTCAAAGCCCTGTTTTCGAAATTTCAAATACTGGGCAAACCACTTTGTCACCTCTATCCTATCTCAACAGTGAATTGATCGATCATTCACTTCAAAGCTGAACCAATCCGGCATCTGTGAGTGTATTTTTGATGATTATCCACTACATCCGCTCTTGGTTTGTTAGTTTCAAAGGTCGAGGATCTCAATTTGGTTAGAAATGAGAACCTCGTTAAACTTGAGGATCCCAGTTCGGTTAGAAATGGGAACCTCATCAACTTTGAAATGAAAACCTCACCAAACACCCATCATCAAATCAATTCTAAATACAACATTAGATCCATAGAAACCTATTATTACTAACCAATCACATGTTGAACACTTGTCTGCAGTTCATCTTGTGCTTGGCTGTGGCCAAATTTGGCCCATGAAACCGGGCATCAAGTATTTCAAACCGGTTGCCATATAGCACAATCTTTCAATAAAACCGATTTGATAACAGACCAATCAATCAAGACTTTTCACGTTTTGTTCTCATCAATCTGGATTCAAAGATCTTTGGTAGACATTAAGCTGTGTACGTATCATGTCATTGTGCCTCACAATCTACTATCACTGATATTTTCATATCCATTTGCAGGATGCCACGCCGTTCACAGGACCAGATCGCAGCAGACTGTGGCTTAGCACCCGGACAAAAACCCACAGCACTCCAGATTCGCCAATCTAAAGAAATTTCAAAACAACGC